AACTGTGAGTCAGTCCCAACTTGATGGCACACATTGACAGCAGCAGTTTATTTCTGCAGACGCTTTTACTGAAAGATTTCGTATAAACTGCATGTATATGATTAAGATAACAAACAAGAAAAGAAATAGAAAGTTTTTAACTCATCAGTCAGTGATACAGTTTATAGAATGACCACATGTACAGGTTAAGTCTTTTCAAAATAAAGTATTATCCTCCTTTTAAAATCCTGAGATTCCTAATTTAGCACTTAACTGTTGACATTTTGAGCCACTAAGAAGTGGATGAATTACGTTTACTCTTGTTCTCCCTCTGCTGGAGTACTGGTGTATTTATGACAGACTTTAGATTGTCACTAGAGGGAGCACAGTCAGGAAGACCCTGCATGTGCACAAGAGAGCCCTGGATCTGCTTAGAGGAGAAAGAGGAAAGCGCAAGATCTAGTCAGATGAGGGAGGGAGCCTATCAACAAAGGCTCAGCAAATCATGGGAGGAAATAAAAAACCAAAGGCAAAACATTTCCAACTCAATGGATCTAAGTTCCTTGATACTAAAATGACTTTATTCCTTTGTGTTTGATAATGGGAAATCTTCTTTGCCAAGCCTGTCATTTGCATAAATAATGGTTGTATCCATTTTATTAAAATGCTGTATTGGGTCTGATGGTACAAAACTTTTGGACAAAAAAAAAAAATTAAAAAAAAAAAACAACAAAAAAAACTTTTGGACCGTTTCAGCCATTTTACATTAAACTAGCATTAAAGATCTGTGGGTGGTTTGTTTGGGTTTTGTTGTTGTTGTTTTATTTTTTTCTTAGTGATGCCTTTGAACAAACACATTTTACAATGAATCTGCCCGCAAAGAATCCTTTTTGCAAAAAGAGACTTGTTACCCTTGGCACCTACTGGAAACATTCCTAAATTTGGATGGTGAAGTAAGACCATATTTTAAATACATCTTTGGAACGTTTGAAATGCTCAGAATCTGGCAGCATTTCATTTCTGACAGCCCAGTTCTTAAGCCTAATTGTTAACAATAGCCTTCTCTTAAAAGCATTTTGATGAACTTAAAAACTTCCCTAACCTACCACTTTCCAGATATGCTTGGGCAAATGACTATGCTTTACTCACCCAGGGCCTAGCAAAGTGCCTGGCACATGGTAGGCATTCAGGACATTTTTAATAAGTTGAATCTTCGTTATTCAAAACCTTATAAATCATTTAAATGCACAGACAGACATGAAAGTTCCTACAGTTGTAAGATGTCATCAGAGATACACTGGCAGGAGAGCTGGTTGATTTCATACAAGGCGTGTTAAATATGGCATTAAATGAATATAAATTGTGTGGACCATTTTCTACTTGTTTGGTCTAGAGGGGGTAATGGAAGTTGTCAGGTTCTTTAAGGCACTCTGGTGGTGCAGTCCATGATGTGTCGGGCTGCTAACCAAAAAGTCAAGCTTCTCTGGTGTTTCCAACTACCAGCAGCTCCGCTGAAGGAAAATGACCAGCGGACAGTCTCCTCTGTTAAGATTTACAGCCTCCGAAAGCTGATGGACATCCGCTAATAGTCAGAACTGACTGACTCATAGGAGATAAACCTAAGTATTCCAATTTCTGTCACACACTCTGTTTATAACCAACACCCCCTGGAAAGGAAAGGAAGGGTTTTGATATTGCCCACCTTTGAGTATCAGAGTACTGCTTTTCCTCAGCTTGCAGTTTGACTTTTATCAATGACTTACTCAAACATTTTGGAAACACACTAATTGTGGAATTGTGGGTCCCCTAAACTACCTGTTCTAGAAAGGAGTAAGGCTTTCTTATGGGTGAAGAAAGAGTGTAGTAAAGATGAGAATTGTTACAGATGAGAATTGGTGGAGACTTAGCAGAAATCAGGAGCCCTGGTCGCACAGTGGTTAAATCACCAGCTGAGAGCAAAAAGATCAGCAGTTCAGACTCACCAGCTGTTCTGCAAGAGAAAGAGGGCACCAAGAGATTCCAGCCTAGAGACCAAGTGGGGCGCTCTGTCTTGCTATGAGTCAGAATCAACCTGACTTCAGAAGGTTGGGCTTGGCTTAGGTTTGCCATGAATTACTTGTCATTCCCTTCAGATTGCTAGCAAATTTCTCAGATAAAGATTGGGTTAAATGATGGTTATTTCAACTTTAATTCTGTGTCCCGCTTTATACCAAGTACTTTCTTTTCCCTTTTTATTTACCACATACTTTCTTTCCATGGATCTTTTCCTATAATCCTTATGAGAAGCCTAGCTTCATCTCCATTTAACAAATTGTTGTTGCTATATGCCATCGAGTTGGAACTGACTCATAGTTGACCCTCCAGCAGGTTTTCAGAGGAGGTGATTGCCCATCTTGCTCCTGTGAAGCATCTGGTGGGTTTGAACTTTGGGCCTTTGGATTGCACCACAGCTCCTTACTTACCTCTAGGCCACCAGAGCTCACTTTTAAGTAACAGGTCCAACATTACACAGTTTCTAAGGAGAGGAGTTAGTATTCGACCTAAGGAAGACTAACTCCAAAGGCCTCCCTAATTTTCTTTGTCTGTAAATTGGAAATAATGAAACTTCTACCTTACATAGTGTTGTTGTTGTGTACCATAGATTCGGAAATGTCCCATGGTTGACCCTCTGGTGGATTTTTAGAGGCAGTGAACTGCACAGGAGATTACCCATCTCTCTTCCACCGAACAGCTGGTGGATTTGAACCATGTGCGCACGGGATTGCAATGCAGCTTCTTGCCTCTAGGCAATCAGGGTTCCCTACCTTATACAATTGTGAATATAATTCAAGACAATGAGATATGTATAATACCTGACATTACGCAGGTGCTCAATAATTGATAGTTACTATTAGTTATAATATCCTTTAGTAACTAACACAATGGTAAAAATATGCTTGGTATTTATTTTTAAATTTTAATCCCTGCTGTGTTTTCTTCATTAAATCAATGAAAACCTGAAGGAGAAAAATGAGAGTGAGGGAGAGGGAGAGAGTTACCAAGCAGAAATTAGGATAGAAGATGTACTTTACATTTCTATACTGACCTCATTATCTAGAATCCGTGGATCTTAAATGTTTTTACCTGTGAAAAAGGGAGCTGTCCTTCAATGTGAGACTATATATGTACCTTCCTCTCTCTATATTCTGGTTCCCACCCAGTGTTCTCAGAGATCAGACATGCTCTCGGATGTCTGTGTAACTGAGCTATGCAATCTTCTGTTTGTAATTATAGTTCCAAATGCTGCTAAAATCCAAATTTTTATTTACCCTAGATGATTAATTCAACAATGTTTTCATGTAATTATACAGACTTTTCAGTTATTTGGAATGAATGAATGAAAACTTGAAAGTCTACATTGAGACATCCAGATAGGGGTAGATATTAAGAATTAGGAGGTCTTTTGTCAAAAGAATGATGTATTTTACCCTTAAATTTTTCTTTTTGATGCATTAATATAAGAAGTTAAATTTTCAGAAATGAGTGATTAAAAATTATTTCCACTAATATTTTGCTTATTTTCTTTTAACTACTTCTCAGATAAGGACATGGAACTTTCATCATTTCAAGGGTAAAAGCCAAACAAAAGTATTTATAAATTTTAAAAATTAAAAAGTCCATAATATGTATATTTTACTTTTACAATTTTATCTATCTTTCTCCCTACGTAAACATTGACATTTTGAACCCTGAACAAATCTATCCACTGAAGGCCTGAGTTTGGGTTGTTATAATATTTTTTTATTTTTATAATTAAAAGCATTCTGTTTCTGCCATTTAAACTTTGTGACCTCTATCAGCAAGATATTGTGAATAAAAAAGAAAGAAATCCACTTTATTTTCACCTAAGTAGACACTACTGTCGGGTGAAGCACGATAATCGGAATCACTGTTTTTGTCACAAGTTTCAAATTTTCATTATCTCGTTGAAATTTAACAGCATTTAACTGAGTGCTTGGTTTGGTTTGCAACTCTTTTAGTTCATTAAGTAAGGTTTTCTTTTTATTTTCACAGCCTTAGTCTATTACCATATCACATTAGTCTGTGTTACATGGATTGACACAGTGACAACCACAGTGGGTTTAAGTATGACAGAGATGATAAGAATGGCACAGGGTAGAGCAAGGTTCAGGTCTGTTGTTCGTAGGGCCACTGTGAGTCTTAGTCTATTTGATAGCGTCTAATAAGTGAATTACAAGCAAAAGCTTGTCCTGTGGTGGTAGTTGTGTACCCTCAAGTACAGGTCGGAATTGACCCTTAGGTGACTCTCCAGGAGGTTTTCAGAGGCAGTTCATCTCATTAGATAAAGATTGCCCATCCTTTTCCTGCAGAGCAGCTGGTGGATTTGAACCAATTGTCGTTGGTATTGCAGCGCAGATCCTTACCAGCAGGCCACTAGAGCTCTCCTGTCTATGTCTATATTGGGACGGTTTCTATGTTTTCTGTGCCAAATGATTTATTTAGTAAGAAGAATGAGAAAATAGTATCTTTTAAACTGTTTTCTAGCAATTCCACACATTCCCTTAAACCCTGAGTTTTCTCCTTGCTCACGAAGACATCCATAAAGATATTAACAACTAGAATTCGAAATAGCAATTATTTTCCTTTCATTTTCATGGAAATTGAATTATTTCCAGGAGCAACGAGATAGAAAAATTTTGGATGCTGTCTGTCTTTGGGTACTAATTAAAGATTACGTCGGTTTGCCATTCATTTCCACTCCCACTTGCACTATCTCATGGTTCACTCTTTTCTGGACAAAGGTATTCAGGTCCCTCTGACGCACAGAGGGACACCACTACCACACATACACACTCAACACACAGTGAATGGCTTAGGGCACACACGTGGGCAGCCTCGTGCTCACAGGGGCATTGGGGTGGACACCTGAATGGACACACCTGGGCTGCTTTTCTGTGTCTGCAAATGGTTTCCATCCGGTCGGGTAGCTTCCCATTGAGGATTTTGACAGCTGAAGGACCATGCAAGCAACCAGGAAAGTGCCCCTCGCGGCCGTGCCTCCCCGGCCCTACGCTGCCCCAGGGCTGCAGGGCACCAGGCGGAGACCCGCGGGAGCGCCCCGGGCCCTGCTAGCCAGCTCCCCCGGAGGTGGCTGCGTTTCCGACTTCGCCCTGGCTCCGCTCCGGGGGCTTGACGTGCAAACTTCGCCGGAGCCGCCGAGAGGGAGGGACCGGCGAGGGGGAGGAGGCTGCGGGAGGCGCCTCCGCTTAAGGGAGCCAGCCGGGCGCCGCGCTCGGACGGACGCGCGAACGGAAGGAAGGGACGGGGGCGCCGGGCCCGGCCCGGGG